GCTTTCGATGAACATGAGATTGAATCTGCCGATGCTAAATCTGCATTTTTGCAAGCTGCTAATTGTGAAGAAGATAGGCGCTTGTGGACGAAAGCAGTTCCAGAGATTGCAGTGTCTCTTGGACTAAAACCAGGGCAGTTGATACGTGTCTTGAGTGCCATTTATGGCCTTACCAATGCTCCTCGCATCTTTTGGCAAGATGTTGATTTGAATTTCCAAAAGCTCGGTGGGATTCCTCATCCCATGGATCGATGCATATGGGTTTTTCGTGATCCTGAAGGGTCGGTTTTTGCCAGAATCGGTAGTCAAGTAGATGACTTTCTGATGGCAGGAAATCCCAAGAATAAGTTTTGGATTGCCTTGAGAGAAAAGATAAAGGGTAGGTATGTATCAATGGAGTCCTTGGAAAAAGGGTGATTTTGTGTATGGCGGACGCCGAATTCGCCAACTCACTTCCTACTCCATCCATGTCTTGCAAGAAGATTTTTGCAACTCTTTGTCTCCTGTGGCAATTCAATCAAACGGCTCTCGCAGTGACAAAGATCCGATGACCCCATCGGAAACTTCGCAAGCTCGGGCGCTTTTGATGAAAGCGCAGTGGCGATCTTTGCAGAGTGCTCCTCAATACGCTGCTCGAATTGGCATAGCTTCTTCCACGTTGTCGGATGGGAAACTGGCAAACTTGAGAGAAGCAAACTCTATCATTCGAGATATGTGTAAGACTGCCAAAAATGATCTGGTTTTTCACAACTTCAATTTTGGAAGAACGAATAGATTGAAGTACATAGATCTTGTTTTCTTGCATTGGGGCGATGCTGGACACAATAACAGGCCGACAGGTGGTTCGACCGGCGGGTTTGTTTCTGGAATTTCTTCACCTGAAATCTTGAAGGGCAATGAAACGCCCGTAACCTTGATTGATTGGAGATCCTGGAAACTTCGACGTCCTGCCAGAGGGACGAACTGCTCAGAAGCACAAGGAATTGCAGAAGCTGAAGACAAAGGCTGGAGAACCAGACTTATGTTTGCAATCCTGTACGGACACACCCTTCGACTTGGGAAGGCAAACACTCTGACTTCCATGTTCACGAGTCTGTTGATTATGGACTCTCGCGGGTGCTACGACTTACTGGTGAGCAATGAATCTCTTGCCATGTCAATGTCAGACTCTAAAGCTGCAATAGATCTACTTCATGTCCAGGAGGGAATACAAGATGGTACAAACTGTTTCGCTACGTGGGTGCCTTCAGACCTCAACTTAGCTAATTCGCTCACAAAAGCTTCCATGGATGCATATAGAGATATGAAGCTGTTTAAAAGCTGGATAGTGAAGTTCAACGAAGAGTTCATTTCTGCTCGTAAGATGCAACGACTGCGAACACAAAAGAAGAAGGAAGAGCAGAAACAAGGCCTGCACTTTGCAGATATGCCAGAAGTTTGGATGGATGATGCAAGACCAACCTTTTTGCCACAGCTTATCTAAGATAAGCGGTCACAGATATCTTCTCTTCAATTCCAAAAGCACTGAATCTGTGCCAAGTTGAGAGGAGTTTCATTGGTGTTTCATGAATTGTGTGAAGCCCGATTTTACCAACCTTAGCACATTTCAGTGGTCTACGGAACCACAGGTGCAGGGTGCTCAGGTTCTCGTCCGCAGGGGCGCCTCTTGAGCTCAGACTTAGACGGAGCGTTAAAAGGGTGGCACGGACCGCCTAAGCCATGTTTTGATCCTCCTTGTTTGACCTCGTCTTTCCGCTTTCGCACGACGTTCACAACCTACGCAACTTGGCGGTTTGACACATCATATACAATGCTTTTGACGGAATGCGCATTGGTGAAGTAGGCCGAGCCGCAAATTCTTAGTATCAAATATCTGTCTCGGTAGAGTGAGTCCTGCTCAATTGTCAAACTAGGATGTATTCTTTTGTCAATCAACATGCATGGCAGATCCAACATCGTCAGAAGGAATCGTTTGGAAACCATGTGCTCGATGGATCACTTTGCCTCTGAAACATATCAGTTTGTAGACATCATGCTCGGGTTTGTGCTCCTTGGACTTTTGGCACCCGCAACACTTACTGTATATTTGAGTCTCCCTGCCGCTATAGCCGGGTATGTGACCTGTCACTGTGTTTGACTTACAGTACTTGCAGGATTTGGAGGAGCGTCGCAATGTGTCGGCAAGAAAGAACACGCGGAGCAAAGTGACTCCAAGGAGGCATGACACTTCTACAGCAAGCTTTGTCAATTGCAAGTAGCATGCTGTCTTCTCATTGGAGGCCATCGCTATTGTTTTAGTATAGGATTAAATGGTTATGTCATATATTTTTCCCTTTGCCCAACAGTAACACAAGCAAGTCGCCTCTGGGCCCACCACACTTCCAGCTGAACGCCTTGGTTGGAATGAATAAGGGCTCGAAGTCATATATTTATATATGTGCGTATTTACATATGTATTAGCAAATTTAGCACTGATCCCTCTCCATTCCCATGTCATAACAAAAGGAAGTCAAATGGAAGCGGTCAAGACTCACCTATTGCCACACAGGCCATGTTAATTATGTGACTTGCTTGAGAGATGATTCAAGATCGGCGAGAAAAGTGTCAAAGCCTGAAGCAATGGCAAGCAAATCAAGTGCCTGGCAGGCTGCGGGGCGTCGCCTGGCAAAACTCACCCAAACCGATGTGATGAAATAGGTCGAATTTCGGAAAGACTCACCAAAAATCCCGCTAGGGCTGAAGGGATCTAAAAGTTCCCTGCTCTGCAAGATCAGGCAGTCGTAGACGTAGCCTTTAAGGCTCTTGACACCATGTTGGTTGCACAGGGCAAATCGCTGCCCCATATTTGCCACCTCTGGCACCTGCGCACTGGGCAACTGAAACTGATACTGAGACAAACTTAGACTGCTTTTTCATTTCTGTTGCATATGTGTGCATGCTGTGTGCATGATGGGTGGTTCGCGGCTTTTGTGTATCAACTTGCCAATATTTAGGACGTGTGAATACGTGTGACATGTTTTGCAATGGCAACTTTTTGTGCCTTCATTCGTGAGACTCTTGCCTTCCCCGGAATGTAGCCGGAGTAGCCAGGCACTGCATATCTGCTCCGAGATGTCAAGGGATCCTCAAACGAGTAAAAGCCTCATGATCAGAACATGTGCTTGGAATTGCTTGGTAAGGGCCATTCACACAAGGCATCATCTGCTTGGGAAACTGTTGGGCACACCCGAGCCGCAAGGCAATACCGGAAGTGGTTGCAATACTTCTGTCATGCATGCAAACTCTTATCCCTTCATTTGTGACGACCACATTGTATACTACACCTATATAGCCCATGATAGCCCATGTACCTAAACTTGAGTTACTTTGTCTGCCATATGCTGCAATGATGCCAAAGCCTCGCTGACAACCGATGCAGGCCTCAGCATGGCAAGGGACCAGCTGCCAAATTGGCTGCGTGGGTGTGCTTCATGCACTGACGCCTCTTGCACAATTGTGAGGTGTGCATAGCATTCAACATCCTTCAACTCACAGCTGGGGCAGGTTGTACATGGGGCAGACTGACACAGTTTTATACAATCAGTTTGTGACCTTTGTTGTCATTCTTTGCACACAATCATGGAAGGGAATCGAGCGTAAGGTGGCAGGACTCCCATCCAAGACCCTAGCATGGCGGAGGCTCAACGTGCTTTTGCAAGGCCTCGCGGCAAGAAACGTCTAGTCTATAGAGCCCTAGAGTCTGAGGTCAGCGTTCCTGCACTCGATTTGTCGGCCTTGCACGGAAAGGTGCCCAGCTGGTGCTATACAACATCGTTCCCACCTATTCAATGCAGCCTATATAGACGGGAACAAATGAACCGAACGACAGCAGAATCTGACTGGAATAAGGTTCTGCCAGGGTCCGTGTTCGGGTCCCCTGGCGGTGCCTATGTGCACGGGAAATGCCGTTTGGATGCATGTGTGCGGACATTTGCACAACATTAACCTCATGTCTATCATCATCATCATCATCATCATCATCATCATCACCTTCATCTTTAGCACTATCATCATCATCATCGTCATCATCGTCATCGTCATCATCGTCATCATCGTCATCATCGTCATCGTCCTCCTCCTCCTCCTCCTCATCATCATCCTCATCATCGAGATACTTGATTTCCAGGCCGCTGATGCGAGCTTGTGCCGCAACAATGAAACCCCGAAGAAGCGACAGAGTCCCAGCCTTTAGCTCTCTTGAGGTGCAAAGTGGGCCATCAGTCTTCTCGCATAGACAGAGCGATTCTTAGAGCAATGTCCGCTCTGCAAGCTCTGCTGTTGCTACACCGGTCTGTGCGCTCACATGAGGTGTTAGCTCGAATTGAAATTTCAGCGGCGAATCCTTGCTTTTGGAACTTTGGTTTCTTGCAAGTTCGATCTACATTACATTTACGCTATTTTAGGCCTTTCTCTGTTGAAACATGTTGAAACACTGTGAATCACCATCACCTGGCTGCAGGAATTGCTTCAAACGGCTCTTACCTTTGCTTTCAGGCTTAAATGGCTTGTGCAGGAAGCAATTCTTTGTATATACATTTTGCACAAAGCTAGAACTATATATATATACTGAAACACAAATCCCCGTCGTGTAACCTTGTGAGCGAAATGGCAACCCCCAAAACAGAGTTTGAACATTGCCACCTTTTATCTACTTCATACAAATCTCTGCTTTTTAGACTTCAACAAACTTCAACAGGCCATTGTTGCGATGCTTGGTCTTGCATTTCAGTCAGTTCAACTCTTTTGGCATCGTGGCAACCTGTCCATTAGAGCGTCTGTGAAACTCGCATCACGAAAGGCTCTGGCTCTTTGCCTCAATATGCCTTGGTTGGAAACTACCTTTATGTCCTTCGATCAGCTTTGATCCGATCCTGCACACCGCCCGGTTATACCAGTTGTCATATAATGGGATTTCATGATGTTATCGCTTGACTTGACTCTTTACACAAGTATTGCATACTTCCTCAGTTCCCTCGTGGTAGGCTGTCCAGTTCAAACTTGAAATCCGAAGGACATCAGTTTGCTTTAGGAATTTCGGCTTGCGGCTTGCCCAATGTTTTTGGCAAAGCAAACCTCCAAAAATGATTACGTGTGCAGCGAAATAGATTCCAACATCACTCCTCGGATGCCACATCAAACAGGTCAAGAACTTCAGAGATGATCTCCTGCGATGCTGTGGCAATTTTAAGTCAAGTTGAAACTTAAGGGTTGCCCACGACAACAAACTGCCACATTTTCCTCCAAATCGTGCCCTTCAACTTCTCGATGCACAGCGACTTCCTCTGCAAATGTCAGCACGAAGTTGCCAATGGGCCACCAATAGCATGACATGTCAAAAACCACATGCAATTTTCACCCAAACCGATCTGCTCCTGGAAAGCCATATCATGCAATATTGCGTTAGAAACCACTGGTGTTCAACACCTACTTCCAAACAAAGTCAAAGCCACAGCAAACCAAGCAATCTGCTGGAGGCGTGCTTGGAAACAAAGCACTCGTTGCTCAGTTTGTTTGATTCATATTCTGAAAACATCTGCAGATTCTAGTTGCTTTCTTTTTTGGCTCAAAGATTTCATGTGCCTGACTCTGGGCTGGACAGTGCCATGAGGAATTTCCCATAGCTGGGCCATCATGTGCCGCCCTCTGAACCTGTGACATCACCAGTCAACCTTTAGTCTGCTTTCAACGTGTCATTCCCAAAAACCTTTACATGTGTTCAACTCCTTTTCAACTCCACTCTGACCTTGTTGCAAACAAAGGTATTCAACTCGTGGTGCCCCATGCAACGGCACCAAACTGAGGGCCTGTATCACTCAGCATTCATTTCCCTTCTGGGTGACCGGTTGTGCAAATGGTGAACATCGTGTCCAATGTTTTTCGCCACGAACTCAACTCTTGCTTGCTCAACCCTAGTTTAGGTTTCCCAGTGCCAGCTCGCCATCAATGTTGAACCCTGCTGACATTGACAAAGAGCTTGGGCATGCTGCAACAAGTATGCTGGCCAGTGCAAGTTGGGCCTTTGCCAAGTTGACACTGTCGCATTGGGACAATGTATGCACGCATGTACAGACCGACATACATGACATACACACATGTGTATATATATGTATATATCGTTTTAATGTTAAACCTATCTATATATATATTTATATATGTCCACTCCCCAGAAAAAATGGAATCGTTATAAAGGAAGCCGACCTTCCCCTACATTTGCGGGGAATGACCATGGGAGGGGAGGGAAGCAGCACTTCCAGCTAAGCCAGGGTTGCCTGCATTTTCATAGGTTGGGTGCTAACACAAAAACGCGAGATCGAACGCCCACACGCGCTTTTTCCCGCTAATGGCCTTGAGCCAAAGTCCGCATGAAAGTCTGTAAGACCGGAGCCCTTTGGTTACCTGGCACGTGTGAAACTGGACCTGCATTTTAGGGTTATGACGCCGCCTTCGACTGAAGATCTGTAACCTCACGCTCGTTTCCAAGATCTGTAGCCCTGCTCTGCGGAACTCCTTTTGAAGTTGTCGCAAGTCTCACCTTCGGCTTCGCTTGCACCGGCAATAAAACAACCTGTGATGTCTCAACTGTTGCCTTCGATGGCACCGAAATGACCTGTGTTGTAAAAACTGGACCAATCGGTGGCGCCGGCTTCGCCTTCCGGGCAGGCGGTTCAAGAACGGACGAAGATCCTGCTCCTTCCTCTTCGGACTCAGTCTGTCCCCACTCGCGCAGCGTAGGCGTGTCCGCCAGGAAGAACAAAAGGATATCTGTTCGAATAAAGCCCTTGTGCATCCCCTCTTGCAAATGTCTCAGCTTTTGGCTGTGCCCTCGCCTCCCGCCTCTCGGTGCGGGTACGCAGCGCCAAAGAGTGTCGCCGATCAACTCAGTCCGTTCGACACCTGTATCGGCGTACGAAGTAATGGCTTCGGGCACAGCCGTAGGCTGGGGAGCCTACGGCTGATAACCACACCAACGCGAGATCGAGCGCCCACACGCGCTTTTTCCCGCTAATGGCCTTGAGCCAAAGTCCGCATGAAAGTCTGTAAGACCGGAACCCTTTGGTTACCTGGTTATTCCCTTGCACATGAGGGACACAGTCCTGTCATGCATGTGTGAAACTGGACCTGCATTTTAGGGTTACCGTTTGGTGGTGCACTTCTTCTCTAACAAGGTAAATTAATATCTAGAAAAACACTTCTTGGTTTGGCTGATGGACCTGCTTCCTTGCAAGTTCTGAAGAGAGTAATTACGCCAGTGGCCGGAAGCATCACAAAAATGCTTGGCTGCGTTTAATATATATATATATAATTGATATATATATATATATATGTATATAATCCATCAACTAGCCTGCCTCACACTCTGCAGCATCTCCCAAAGAAATGGCCGAAGGAAAAGGCTGAAATGATGGTGTCAACCACACTCCATCAGGGCAGGTTACACCAACCATACCTTCTTTCTTTGCTGAGAGTTTGCATGGGTTGTGAGAGTCAGCTGCCAGCATATCCTCTGCAGAAGTCGATATGCCACCAGTTGCGCCATCCTCTGCCGCGGGTTTTAGAGACAGTCTGTGATTCAACAATGTAACAAACAAGGTGTATGTTATATAATCATTGGTGATCAGGCCCTATCAAACGTGCCAAGTTCCAGTCCAAGGCATGGCTTTGCATCCATTGCAACATCCGGAGTTGCGAAACGCAGGTTGGTTATGAGGTTGTATGTGCTCATTTGGGGGTACCAAAACTTCTCCAGGTATACACCAGGATCTGAAAGGCAAAGTGTATGCCCGTGGGCTCAACACGCGAGGATGGTGTAGCGGGAAAACCTTTTCTGCTGGCTACCTGGATTTGTGACACCACGCCGAACAAACAACTCTCTTCTAGAAGTGAGCTATGACTCTGACATCACAAAAGGGGCAAACTTGGTCTAATGATCCCAGTGTTCAGCATGCCCATGTCCCGACCCGAGCCTGCCCAAGTGTTGGCACATTCAAGTTCGGCAGCATGGAGATTTTCATGTCCAAGGCTTGCCAGTCATGCTCGGTGCATCCAGCTTGCATTGCATCCAAGGCTTGGTGCGGCTCGAACATGCTTTCGGTTGAAGGCGCGCTCTTGCCTCGAAAATGTCCCGAGTTTGCCACATCATCACCCCATGGCACGGTGCAACTCTTTGCTGTCAAGCCCTCTTGACCTCTTCCTGCAAGTGTTGGGCTGCTTTTCTCACTCTGGATGACCAAGCGCAGTCTCTTCTTATCACACTCTGAAAGGAGTCGCAGTCTCAAATCGGCCAAACAATGCTGTGGATCTTCTCGCATCTCCCGCTGGGAAACCTGCGAGCTCTGCAAAAGCTCTTCAGTCCTCCTTGGGCACCGCACAGTGCAACAAACACTAGCACCGTGACTTGTTCCAACCAATCAAGGACGAAACCTGTATATAACAATAGATGCCCCAGCTCAGCACTAACAAGCATCAGTAATTTCCTCAAATTACCCGGAACCTTAGTAACCTTCGGACCTAATATGCATAGACACATAGAAAACTGCAACATTGCACAAATGCATAAAGGACATGACATAGCAATACAACTTGAACTTAATCCCTAGAAAGCCTTGCAGTATGTGCTAGCTTTGTATTTCCCTCTACTGGATAGACATGATACAAGAATATACAAGAGAGATACAGTAATTGACTGACCACTCCAAGGAACAGGCCCCTGGTGGCTTGTGTCCGTCTCCAACGACTGGAGCTGGCAGCTCTTGCCGTTGCTTCCTGTATCCCATCCAAGTGCCAACGTGGAACTGCAGCAGCTGGGGACCTCCAAACCAACAATCAACAGCTCACGGCTTCTGTGTTGATTGCCATTGAATAGGCAATCTCACAAAGCCATACAGCTCATCATGCCCTAATAACTCATGACTTTATCCAACGAAGCTTGAAGCCATCAATTGGTTCCTTTGGGTATCAGCTTTGAGTTCCAAGTCTGGGTGGCGATTTCCGGAGAGACTTCCTTCAATCAAATGTGCTTTTGGCCTTGGCATCCAGCGCTCTGCCGCCTGCAGCTCTGCGTAGGTCACTGGCGAAGAATCGTACCTGAAAACCCTCTCATTGCTTTGACTCTTGTTAATCTGGAAACTAATCAATCACCTTGTGCTTCGCGGTGGGACGTCTGGCGGAGTCTGGTGCTCTACGATACCACTTCACTTCTGCCTTTAAGCATGCTTTATGAATCCACCATCTTGCTACGGCAATGCCAAATGAAGTAGCTTACTTATAGCAAACCAGAACATTTGGACGTATTGCGGCCCCTCAACCTAAGTCCCACTATCTTCTGACTGTGCTATACCCAACCGCAAAGCCAGCCATGTCACAAGCTGGCACCCAGAGGCTGCGGCTGTGCAGCTGTGGTGAACCTTGGAATGATCATGATGAACAGTATGAATCATCTGTTGGCATTGGATCAGAACTGCATCAAGCCTGTCTGCTCGGCAGTTGTGCACACTTTGTTGGCATGGTACGGCATGCAACAAGACAAAAACAGGACCTAATCACGCAAAGGCATTGCTTAGAAGATCTTAGAGCGCCAGTTGCCATGCTTAGAGCTACCGGCTACCCTTGCCAAACTCGCTTCAAATATTCTCAAATGCCCAGCCAAGTGTCTTGTGAACAGCCTGTGCTTTTGCTGTGGCCCTTGGGATGTCTTCCGCAGCTTCCCACGTTCTCTGCGTGCACGACCCTGCCTCCCATGCCGTACACACCGGCCGCTCTGGTGGATGAGGCACATGATGTGACCAAGACCGAGGCAAAGGTGGAGGCACTGGGTGTGGCTCAGGCTTTGTCAGAGGCAGTGGGGGAGGAGGCGGCGCAAGTGGCGCAGGAGGAGCTGCATCTCGCCTTGGCAACAAGAAGCGAAGGCCAACAACTTCTGAGTTGGCCTTACCCCACTGAAATGACACCAAAACTAGTTCATGGGCGATTAATGGTGCCTGAAAACCCTCCTATTGCCTCGCCTCTTGTCAATCAATCTTTTCTGACCTGGCCAATGCAAATCGAAACTAGTCAATCACCTTGTGCTTCGCGGTGGGACGTCTGGCGGAGTCTGGTGCTCTACGATACCACTTCACTTCTGCCTTTAAGCATGCTTTATGAATCCACCATCTTGCTACGGCAATGCCAAATGAAGTAGCTTACTTATAGCAAACCAGAACATTTGGACGTATTGCGGCCCCTCAACCTAAGTCCCACTATCTTCTGACTGTGCTATACCCAACCGCAAAGCCAGCCATGTCACAAGCTGGCACCCAGAGGCTGCGGCTGTGCAGCTGTGGTGAACCTTGGAATGATCATGATGAACAGTATGAATCAGTATGAATCATCTGTTGGCATTGGATCAGAACTGCATCAAGCCTGTCTGCTCGGCAGTTGTGCACACTTTGTTGGCATGGTATGGCATGCAACAAGACAAAAACAGGACCTAATCACGCAAAGGCATTGCTTAGAAGATCTTAGAGCGCCAGTTGCCATGCTCAGAGCTACTAGCTACCCTTGCCAGACTCGCTTCAAATATTCTCAAATGCCCAGCCAAGTGTCTTGTGAACAGCTTGTGCTTTTGCTGTGGCCCTTGGGATGTCTTCCGCAGCTTCCCACGTTCTCTGCGTGCGCGACTCCCATGCCATACACACCGGCCGCTCTGGTGGATGAGGCACATGATGCGACCGAGACCGAGGCAAAGGTGGAGGGACTGGGTGTGGCTCAGGCTTTGTCAGAGGCAGTGGGGGAGGAGGCGGCGCAAGTGGCGCAGGAGGAGCTGCATCTCGCCTTGGCAACAAGAAGCGAAGGCCAACAACTTCTGAGTTGGCCTTACCCCACTGAAATGACACCAAAACCAACAGCCTATTTCTCTTCGTTGCTCCCTAATGAACATGAATGCCTGCTTGATAACTTATGATCTCACTAAAATAAGTAGCCAGATTGCAGCATGTCTCCTTCATCACCAGTTAGCACACGCAGTCGATGAACGGCCTGCGGGAGCTGCCGAATCTTCGGCACAACATGGTTGTGGAATTGTGGATTTCCTATTGCTCCTAGTAGCGATGCCAGGAGCCCCTAGTAGCGTCCTTGCTCCTAGTACCATCGTCTGGAACACTCAGCCTCTGCCAACAAGTGGAAGGGGCGCCGACATGCTGGCTACCTAGCCCAAAGCCCTGCCTCTGCTATCTCAGCCAGCGCAGCTGCCCACTTTTCTCTGAAAGACTGGTCATCGGCCTCCCAAAGGGGTTTCATTGAATCCTACGCTTGGAATTGTCAAAGGAGCTGGGATCACCTGCGCAACAAAGACATGAACAGCTGAACAAAAGAACATGAAAAAACAAATCCTTATCAAAGTGAACAAAAACATGGGCCGACTCTTGACGTATAATTGTTTAATTAGATGGCGGACAGAAGCGGTTTGCCTCCTGTACCGGGCAAGGCTTCACCTCCCATGCAGGTAAACAAAAGTTGTGATGGTTCGGAATTAGATTAGGATTGCATCAATACTGGTTGAGAACGCGCGGACGTGCGATGCATAAAAACACTTGAACTGCTAAGAGCTGCCCAACTCTCTTGCGGAACTGAAATGTTTCGAAACAAAAACTTTACTTTGCGACACTGAGCATGAAAAGAACTGAACGAACACATGATTCATGTACCTGGCACCACGCTGGTCTTGGGCGGCCTGTAGACCTCGCAACATTCCAAACTGATTTGCCATCTTGTCAGGGATCGGCACGACTTGGGCACCTACAAAAAGAACAAACGATGTCTGGGTACAAAACTCTAACTGTCATTAATATACCGGTCACCGGTCCGATACGGATCTTGGAGTTGCCCGACCGGGCTGTCCAAGGCCTGAAACAGGATGACTTCAGGCAGTGTGTATACATGTGTACGCATACAAAAAGAAAGAAAGAAAATAAAAAAAAAGAAAGAGAGAGAGAGAGGGTGTTGGTCGTGGCCGACGCACTACTGCGTAACCCAGCTCGTAGCACAACCGCCGCCCTTAGTGGAAGGCCTGGGCGAAGCGCGTGCATCGTTCATGCCTGAAACAAACTGCGCCATGGCAAATGTCAATCCGGTTCAAAGACAGGTGGCCGAGGAGGCAGCTGCAGCTATGCGCTTCACTGCAGCAACGTCTGTCCGAACACTCAGCGGGCTGCTCTGCATGTGCTGTGCCCTGATTAATGGTTTTGGGGAGGTGATGTCTTCCCACCATTCGCAACTGCAAAGTGATGGCACCTGGAGCTGTGTGCGTTGTGTGGATCCACAGAATGATGCACGGCACACATGTGGAGAACTCGCATGTGACACAAACGCGCGGTCAACCGCCCGTCCTGATGTGTATTCCCGCGGCATATGTTCAACAGCCCTGGCCACTAATCTTCAAATCGGAGATCAACTTCTTGACGGGCCGCACTCCCCTCCCGCAGCCCGTTTGACCCAGGTCAGCATCACAATCAAAAGCTTTGGTGGCTGGGAGCGTGCTCAGAACGTGGCGAAATCATTCCAAACATGTGGTGTGGTGCAAATTTTTCTGAAGCGAGGAAGATGTGATGTGGTCACTTTTCGTGGCTAGCGCAGTACTTTGTGCGGGTTTTGAGGTGTGGAAGTACATTTTTCGTGGCAGGCGCAGGGAGTCGTGAGGTTGCGAGGTGAGCGTGTGTTGCTTGGAGGCTGAGATGTTCTGTATTTTTGATGTTTGTGGTTTAGAATTCATGCTTCCACGTCTGCTTGCTCATCTACCCGCATGCGGTGAAAAGGCTGTGGTCTAGCCAAATGCAAACTGTGCAAACTCAAGAAGGCAAAAATAGTGTTGTGTCTGCCACAGAACATTTTCTAATGCCTTCTCACTGGGTCCAGAAATTCCGCGGGCGTTGCAGGTAGTAGATGCCTGAAGGCACGAGACTCTCGAGTGTGGAGACAAGCAGTAAAACTCTCACTCTCGGTTTGCTTAGAGTGGCTGGTGGGCGTGGCCGGTGGCCAGTGCGGGTGGGATCGGTGGCCGTGGCTGGACGACCTGGATGGCCGTGGCCGGTGGATGGTGGTGTGCGGCCGTGGCCGGTGGCCGGTAACAAAAACACATTATTGTGCCATGGAGTGCAAGTCTGCGCGCCCAGCCTGACGTTCAAAAAATTCAAGAAATCAAAAAAGACAACACATTTCTCTAGTCAACCCAAGTGCGACGGGAGTGGGGGACTAAAAGGGGCCGCGACCAAAAGCAAACATGGCGCAACGTGTTTAACGCTTCGAATGAACGAAGTTGGCTCGGGCCCTATGGGCGAGCGAGAACATGAGGTGACATGTCATCTGCGTGAACATGCTCAACTTTCACACTGCTCTCTTTCTCTTTTGACCTTGATAGCCCCCTCAACTGGATCAGGGCCTGAGATCCTCCAAGATCTTTGTCAACGAGTCCACTCGTTGCAACCAAGTGGGCACCCAGTGGATCGCCTCCTGGACCGAACGGATGTTCACCAGGCTTCTCTTGTCCTTCACCACAAGAGTTTGGTGAAGTGATGCTGTCAAACCAGCTTTTGCAATCCGTGGCCAACATGGCCTTGAGCTTGGGCCCCACACGGTGTGCGGGCTCAAAGAACACCAGCTCTCCCAGCGAGTATAGCACAAAGGCAATCCGGTCGGCCGCTGAGTCTGCGGCCACGCTCTCCCGCCAAAGTGGAGCGGCAGACCCTCTTCAAGCGTCCCGACTTCCAGTCATAAAGCGCTCCAAAACAAGGGCCTCTGAAACGTTGGCCAGCGCCACAAACAGCAAGCAACCGTGTTGCCTCGCTGAGCCTTGAGCCTTTGCCCAGCTGGCATCGCTGTAAGCCATGATGACTGACCATGCTCTAAAAACTGTTGCGCACCCCACTTGAAGCTGTTCACTAGACGACGGTTGGCCCGAGAGCGAGACAGGTGATTGTCCAGCGTTGTCAGGTCATGAAATAGTTAAAAATCGAGTTGTCCAAGAGTCATGACTTCTTTATACAATCGGTTATTGAGTAAGAAGTTGCGAAGAAATTAGATCTAATATATTAAGAGGCCAGGAAAGATATGTAGAAAGAGAGGGCGGATGTGAAGGAGTGACAGTATGGACGCGCAGGTGTGATATAGATGTGCAGATGTGTGGGTGTGTGGAGGTGGAGAGGTAGATCTGCGGACGCGAGCATGTGAAGATGTAAATGTACAGAGGTGAGAGAAAAGATATGTAGAAAGAAAGAAAGAAAGAAAGAGCGGATGTGAAGGAGTGATAGTGTGGATGTATATACAGATCTGATATAGATGTGCAGATGTGTGAGTGTGTGGAGGTAGGGAGGTAGATCTGCGGATGTGAGCGTGTGAAGATGTAAATGTACAGAGGTGAGGGGGTGTAGACGTAGATGCGTAGATGCAAGGGCAGCGCAGTGTTGTGGGTCAGGAGCGCCAACCTGGGTGCATTTCTCGCCGCGCAAGCACAACGCTGAAGAGGTTCGAATCAAACTGATATATAGCACACCAGCGACACGCCGCGTTTACACCAGCTGGCACGGCGCCACGCAAACGCACTTTCCAGCAAGGCCGCGCAAATCCGCATGGCACTGCGACATCACGGATGTAATTCGCCACGCGGTCTGCCCACACACTAGAAGCAATCCTATCACACGATACCGCCAATTATCCTGCTCACCAGCGACAGGCCACGTTTACACCAGCATGTTCCGCGCTCCCCAGTGGCACGGCGCCACGCAAACGCACTTTCCACCAATTGCAAGGCCGCGTAAATCTGCATGGCACTGCGACATCACGAACGTAATTTCGCCACACGTTCTCCCACACACTACCAGCAATCATATCACACGATGCCGCCCATCATCCCGCTCACCAGCGACGCGCTGCGTTTACACCAGCATGTTTCGCGCTCCCCAATAACACGGCGCCACGCAAACGCACCTCCCACCAAGGCCGCGCAAATCTGCATGGCACTGCGACATCACGGACGTAATTCGCCACACGGTCTGCCCACACACTAGAAGCAATCGTATCACACGACGCCTTCAAGTCAATCATCCCGCTCACCAGCGACACGCCGCGTTTACACCAGCGTGTTTCGCGCTCCCCAGTGGCACGGCGCCAGGCAAACGCACTTCCCCCCAAGGCCGCGCAAATCCGCATGGCACTGCGAAATAACCGACGTAATTTCGCCACACGGTCTGCCCACACACTAGAAGCAATCCTAACACACGATACGCAAAAATCGCCAAATCATCTTTGGAATACTTGAAAGCCGGTGGATTTGGGGCAGCCCCAGATGTATACTTGACACCCTTCTCAGGACCCATGTGACTATTCCACGACTTGTCAGAACTGTTCGAATCCTTCTGACATTGCGACTGTTTGAAGCGTCTTGGCCAACGTGTTCAAAGTCCGGCTCAACTCTCGATTCTGCTCAGGCTCCACCTGTTGCGGTGATGGTGGAGACTGCTCTGCTTCTGATTGGTCTCTGCTCTTCCTGGATCTCCACTTCCTCCAACGACCGATCGTGGCATTGGGTCGGGGTCAATGACTGGATCATCTGCAGGGGCTTCGGACTCACCCTGGATGAAGGGTGTCCGGGAATCCCAAACCTGCGGAGCGCAACTGATTGCTTTGCTCCATCAACACCAGTTCAATTTCAACACTGTGCAATGCCCCACCCTGCTCAATGCCAACTGGTGTAGCAACGTGATCCGAGGGCACAAAAACCCATGCACCTTTCGAAGTCTCACGTCTTGTGGATTCAGCGGTGTTGTAGTAATTGTTTCCACGACAGTCCGCGCACTTCCAGCCTTCACCTGTCCAAATGAACGTGTCATTGCCGCAAGTCCAGCATCTCCAGGTCACAGGACTGGACCCCGTGGCGCAGGGGACTGATCAGCAATGACGGCCGAAAGGTGCGCGAAGCCGAACAGGCCAACCAACCAATGTATCAACGCAATGTAGCAACACAAACACGATGTACCACAATGCTCAACACAACGAAGGCAAGCCGCCACGCAACAACCAAGCTCCGGTGCCAACTAGTCAACCCACGTGCGACGGGAGTGGGGGACTAAAAGGGGCAGCGACCAAAAGCAAACATGGCGCAACGCGTTTTCCGCTTCGAATGAACGAAGTTGGCTCGGGCCCTATGGGCGAGCGAGAACATGAGGTGACATGACTTGCCATCAAGGTCAAACATGAACATGCTCAACTTTCACATTTTTAAGGAGTCTTGGAGGGGAGCTTCCAAGAATGTAAGAAGAAACAAAATATATTGAAAAAGCAAACACTTATTCCAGAAGTTTCCAGAGGGGGGTTGGCAGCAAAGAGTCTCAGAAATTTTGTTTTTGAGTATGTTTTGTATTGTGACATTGTTATGTTTAGTAAGTTTAATGATTGCTTTTTTGTGGAATGATTGCTTTGTTGTTTACTCTTTGGTCCAATGGGAGGTAGACACAGGTGATGCCAGATGTGCATTGTCTGATGCATTTTGCACATTTTTGAAGTGGGCAGCAAATGTAAGTGTTGAGCAATATGCGTTTTGCTAGGGGTTTGGCATGGACATGCAAAATATACTGTACTACAATGTACAATGTTTTATGCATATAATATATATATATATATATTCTGACGTAATATTTTGATACATCGCCAGGGTCGCCAGGTGCACCCCTTCTGCATATATATATATATGTATAGATATGTATACAGCCCCACTAATAGATGGTTCCAAAACGTTCCGGTCCGAATAACCAGCGAATCGGCCCAGGTTTCAGTTTTGCGTACTTTGACATTTTCACTGAGCTGCCTAGTGTCAAAAGGTGCTTAAATGGCACGACCAGCCAAATGGATAACACTGCAACCAGCTCAAGCAACTACTTGGGGTCTCAAATTGTCTAGAGTACTGAGGGCTTCGCAAAGGGTTTTCATTTATCTGGCACGTGGGGCCTTGGGGCTCAATTAACTAGAGGGTGCTTTTTGGGGTTCTGGAGGTTCTAGTGCAGCTCATTCCCAGAATGAACATTTCAAGGTCCTACTCTGCTAGCCTATGCAAGCAAAGCGAATGTGATCCTGGACAAAGCTGATTGAAAAGCAAAAGCCTGATTGTGCTGTTGAATGCCTTTGGTTGCCATTCCGTCCGTGAACGCAGGGTTGCAAACGGGTGCCAAAGGTCCAGTCCAATGCCTCCCAGTCAGTTCCAGCTAAGGTTTGAGCGGTGTACACGGAGCACGGGGGTTCATTGCCTGGAGTATTCAAGTGCCAACCCCGATCCACTGTAACACTGCCTCTTCTGGCCATCCTCCACTCAAATAGTCCGCATTTTTTTTCAGCAACAGGTAGGGCCTCAGGTAGGCGTTTCTATAGGTGCGTTTGCCCTTCATCCCTCTCGAGCCTCACGGGGTGTGTGTGGCTGTGACCTCAGGGCAATACAAGTGTGGGCGCGGGGTTGCCCTGGCATCTGAATGCATTTCGCTCGCACCTTGTTTTCCCTGGCTCAGCTAACTCAATGTGTAGTCGGACGGCACGTTTTAGCGCTACCTCGAGAGATTGAGCCAACATGACTTCTTCGTACCTCTTGACATCACTAGGATCAGGATATCGTGGAGAGAGATGTGGAATATGAAGCTGCTTGTCCCTGGTAAAGGTCGGACTGCCCAGAGCGCCAATTACTGAAACTATCACATTGCAACTCTTCCCTCAGTCCCTCAGGACTGTCTCAAAGCGCTAACTTGCAACCTGATTGACGTGCAGTGTTCTTCGGCCAGACAGCACTTGACGGGTTTATTAAGCATTGACGGTACAAACAAGTCGTACTTTCAAAACCAGTTGAAGCCTATTGAAGGCTGCCAAAGCCTGTCTGGCCCTTATTAGAGCAGCGCTAAGGATGTCAGCTTGGGTGCTCTCAGCTTGAAACTTGAGCTTGCCTGGCGCAAGAATTGCCCAATCAGCATCGCTTGGTTTTGGCTATATACATGCCATGCCTGGATGAAATCAAGGATTCCTTCTCCTCGTCTGGAGTCTCCACCGTGGTTGGCACCAGAAGCCGTCCAAGACCAAGGCAGGCGCATCCAATTGAGGCGAGTATGCTGAACACAAAGAACACATCAGGTCGTACCCAATATGTGAACAGGGTTCGAACTTTCATGATGACCTTTGTCGCTGTCAGGAAAAGAACGCTGAATAAATCAGAAAGGATGGTCCAATATTCACAGTTCAATGATACTATTGCATACTACACATTGCATTGGAGTCATCGGAGGTTCTGGCCAATCAAAGGAAAAGCAACTGCGCTCTCTGAACTCCACAGGTTTTTAGCGATATGCAAGCAGGTTAAGAATACAGTTTCCACATGTTTCCACTGTGACTCAACAAGCCTCCCCGGTTGCACTCAAACCTGCCAGTTGCCAGTGATTTAAGTTCACTTAGACAGCGACCATGGACATTTCTGGGTTTCCGGAAACGAAGCAGAGAAATGGACATTACAGGCTGGAGGCCATCGCTCTTAGGTTAGAGGCCATCCCAAGCCGCTAGTAGGTTGGAGGCCACCGCTTTCGGAAACAAAAAAGAAACTGCCATCCAAATGGCCAAGAACGTGACAAGGCCCAGAAATCCGTCCGTTGACCGCTGAGGATCCTGTCGCGTTGAAAGCGACAAAACATGACAAAACCATCCAAGTCTGGTAGCCTTGTCCCTATGCCCTGGCATCAAGAGCTTGTCCCTTTTAAAACGTGCTTAGGACCTTGAATTGCTGCACAATTTGATTATGTTAATGCAAGTTATAGTTAGTTCATACTGTCTTCAAACGGGTCATGTTAACAGTGTGGACCATCCAAACATAGTCAACCAGCTCCTGGCTCAGGAAAGAGAACCCATACCTGGCCGGCAACACATGTCTCCTTGTCTTCCAGCAAAGCCCACCAAGGGCACAATTTATTTAGCACTTTAATTCCGTGCTTATTGCCCGTGTGCGCGGCAAGACAGGATTCAGAGCATCTGCATAAGACTGAGGATGACAACTGGTGTCTCAAAGCCCTGACTCTAGACTCTAGGCTCTTCATCAATTGTCATCGTTGCATCACTGAAACAAGTCTTGCAGTGTGACAACTAGAGCAACCTCCAGTGTACATTGTGTGCGTGGGCGCATCTCCTACGTCACAAGAAGGGAGCCTGGGCTCGCAAGAACTCTTTTTTGTTTTTAATTATATATGTGTCTTTCAAAACCATTCAGTCAGCGCTGGATCTTAATTCAACACCGAGATGCAAAGCGCTTGGCAAAAGAGCGACGGCTCCGATACCCAAGCAAAGGCGTCCCCGGCAGAAGTAAGCGCAGCTACAGTCATCAGGGCAATTCGGCCGTGCAAAGGCTTCCTGACAGGGCTCTGCTGCACCGCCTAACTGAACCAATCTTACTCAATATAGAGCATATAATGTGGATGCCTTAATAACAATAGAGCCACTTATATTACTATATAGCAAAGACAAGCAAAAACTAAAACCTGTTTGAAGCAGCGTGGTAGGCCAATCCTTGAAGCATCCGCAGCTGATGGCAGCAAGGAACCAAAGAATAGCACCTTCGGAACAGGTTTCTCAGCAAATGTCCCATAAACTCAAGCCCTTGGTACCAAAAAAACATTGTCTGTGAAGCAGAAACCTCGAGCAATTGAGCAAGTGAGACGGCCTATTCGAAGCAGGGTCTGCAGCAAGCCACGTCTGTCTTCTAACGAAGTGCATTCAGCTGCAATGCACCCAGCCTGCGCTCTCGGCCCCACGCAGTCTTCATGCATCGTGTTAACACAACATTAACAGCTTTGTGTCAACAATGCCTTGTGTGGTAACATGTTGTAAGTTGTACTCATAATCATATCATCTTCGCGGTCGGAACATGGTGAGTCAGGAGAGGGAGGGACTTCCACATGTGGTTTTCAGGGCAACTGATCATGCTCATCAAACCATGAAAAACGCTTCAATGTTCACGCTCACAGCAAGGCACATCACGGTTTCAATTCAGCAAAACTATGACCTTGACATTGCATTGCAAAGCTTGTTGCAATAAGTACGAAAAAAGGCAAGGAGCAAGGACGCTACTAGGGGCTCCTGGCCTTACTACTACTGGTAGTAACAAGAAGCTACTAGGGGCTCCTGCAAGGTTCTGGTTCCGCGTCCTTGGCCTAATAGCTGATCGCAATCGCTTATATAATCGCTTGATCGCTTATTCGAACCGCTTAATCGCTGAGTCTGATCACTTAATCGCTTGGGTTGAAATGCACGACCGCTGTGCGTACGCAATGAGCTATCGTCTGGTGTCTGCTACATAATTTGAATTTGTAATCACAAAAACATATCTGTAAGAAGCAGTCAAATCAGCTTTGAATAGCCTGACTTGCTGCACATGTTGCGTTGTCTTCGAAGCTCCATGAAATCGATTCCAAGGTCATCACAGTACAAGTAGGTTCGACAAGCCAAACACATGCAAAAACCCAGACTGGGAAGAATCAAATGAGTCAATCCAAGCACATAAAATCTTCCAAAGCTCGTCTCCTCATTCAATGCTTCTTCATCTTGCAACTTGAAGCATCTTTGTGCTTCCCTCAGTGGAAGGCGACCTGTTCTAAGCAACATGTGTGTATGGAGGTGGGGTGATGAGTTAGATTCGATACACGAGATACCCAACAGCCGTTTGACGAGAGTTGGCGGTGGGTGGTGGCTTGTTGCTCCAATGTTGGTCGGCCAAGTCACCCACATGTAATATTGAAATCACACTTTTCTTCGTAGCAGCGCCGCCCTGCTCCAGGGCAAAGGAGCTCCCCTGTGATGCTCGAGTTGAAGCAACGCGATTGGCATGACTCTCGGCACCCCAAGTCAGCGTTGGTGGTGACAAAGGAGATCCTTGACAGCCAGCAAGCAAACGAAACAACGCTGTATAAGTCCAAAATTTAGGGCCTCAGTCTTTTACACATTGACCCCATCACCTCCCGTCAACTGTGACGCCAAGCCACCCCAAAATGACGACTGTGGCGATACTCAAACAGCTACAGGCAATAAATCCGCCACTTCGTGGGTCTCGAGCGCTGCCAGGACACTCTGCCATAGCTGTTTCGTGCCTTTTTAGGCAATGTCTCCATAAGCCACGTGGCACAGGACGATGTGCAGCTGCAGGTGCTGTACGAATCAAACAGGAGTATCTTCGAGTATCTGAAAGCAACTTTGGTTGCGTGAATGTGATCTTCGTATTTGCGCATGTGATCATGCTACGAGGATGCCGGTAACCGGTAACCAACCCAAAGTCTCCAGCGTGCGTGGTGGCGCACAAGCTGCGAACCTGCAAGGCACCAGTGAAATGGGGGCTGGGCAAGAAGCAAGAACTCTCGCGAATCGAGAAACGCTACCATTAGCAAGTTGAACACAGCTTGGCACTAAACTTGAACAGTCTACAAACAAAGACTCCAATTCAATTGTAGCGCTGCCTGGTTCCCTCATAGCATCAATTCATTGTACCTGTCCAACAAATCCCAACTGGTCCAATGCCTTTGCCCGGAGGCCAGACTTGGTGCCTCAGTTTTGATGTAATTGGACATGACAATTCGATCCGAATGCCGGATGTAATTTTACAAATCATCACGGTTGTCTGTGTATAGAAGCTTATCATTTGGCCAGCACGAGTTCCAAGTCTCATCTCCTTTCAAAATGCTGAACTCCCCCACTGCTCAGCAGGTCCGCAGCAAAGAACAGTACTTCCAAGCCCAAATTGAACATGTTGACCATCTCATGTTGATCCTCTTCCTGTGGTTCCTCCGAGTTCCTCGTTCCATCGACTCGGAGTTTGTCTTTCAGGCCCGTGACAGCTCTCGGCCCAAGGGTGCGAGGGCGCTCACCTTTACAGCACTTAGTGCTCGACCCTCCCTCCAACAAGCATGGAAGTGGACAAGTGGTCTTCCAGGTGTCCATTTTCCACTGCAATTTTTGAATTGCCAATAGCACAGGAAACGGGTGCGTATTGGGGAGGCTGAAAATCACAACCTCTTCAACAAATTGCATCATCCTACAATGGCCCCGTAGACTCGATCTGAAGGCAAGGTCTAGACCAGTTGTATCTACATACCTAACTATATACCACATAATATATGGGTATGAGCGCAACTAAGCCCTAGTAGTTTGAAAGGTTTGAGCCCAGCACGCAAAGTCTCTCGAGGAGGTGGCCTGGAACAGGACTCAGCAGGCCTATATAAATGTTGGTCGTCTATAGTATATAGTATATATATATTACACACATTTAAGCAAATATACACATAGATAGATATATATAAGTATATACATATAAATATATATATATATTATGTATATATTTGTTTTCAACGCTCAATAATTGTTGGCTTTCCGGCTCGTTTTCCAAGGACTGGCACCAGTCAGGGCACTATGTAATGTCCTGCCGTCTTCACAGTCATGTTACTTCACAAATGACATACTAGTATACCATTTCGGTAATGTGAACCCACCATTAAAGACCAGCATTCTAATAGGTCAAGAAGGTTCAGAAGGTACCCCCTACAATGAATAGATATGAATAGGTTTACAGTACGTTAATGTTCTAGTATGCTCTAATTACATGAGGGAGTTTGGGAGGGCACCACCATGAGAGCCTGAGGAGCATCTGCATAAGGCTTGGGCATCAATGAGGTGTCTGTTCAGCAATGAGAAGACCAGAAACATTATATAATTTGTTATATCTTGATTATTTTCAGAAAGAGAATGGCACAAGAAGCAAAGAGAAACATAGTCTAACAAAAAGAGCCGATGTGGTGATCAATTGGGGAGATATATATTGTTGGGGAAATATTGACCCAGAAATGATCCACCACTTTATCAGCAAAGCCTTCACATCACAGGTAGAGACGCCCAACCCTCTAGCGATCTCCTGTACCACTTCCCAGGCGATACGAAAGATACTAGTCGACCCCTTCACGTCACCGACAATTCCCCATGATGCACGACAAGGCTACAGCCTCACAACGAAAAAAACGCAATGCAGTTTGGACAAAAAGCAGAATTCGAAAGCCGGTCAAGGAGGGAGTGAAACTACAACTACTGATCGCGTTTTCTTTGTTCTTGTGTCAGGACTCCCATTCTGTAATCAACGTCGATGGACTCTTCGCAAAACAAAGCCAAAGCAGTATGAGAATGAAGCTACCTTTTGTAAATCGCACATGGATGCACATGGCATTAACATTCGAGCCACGATTCTTTGGGCTGGTTTCTGTTTGCGCGTGTTCTCATTAGCAACCGCTTATTGTACTCTGATCGACCCCAGATTAGTGTCAGCCTGCATGTCAACAAGGCTGCCGATGAGTATGGCAATGTTCATTGGCAGTGGCAGTGTAAATGCGGCAAAAGTTGCCATTTCCAAGGTAAGCACTACCAGCTACCACTTATATTGAACTATATAAGGATTTTTGAGAAAATGCGCATTCAGAATCATTCAGAGCGTGCTTACCAAAAAACCGATCCATTGTAATATCACGCTAAACCAAAAACCCCAAAGCGACCCGCTAGTTCAAATTCTGGTCTGCGATGACACAAACTTAAGTGATGCAGCAATGAGTGACCCCAAAAAGCAAACTTAAAAGGTCGAGCAGGAAAAGAGACAAAACACACACACAAAACAAGAAAAAACAAGGCTCGCTTGCTGGCCTAGGCCTCGGAGGCCTTGACGGCTTGCCTCAGTGAATCAATGAAATAATAACATGTATATAACAACTACTTGTGGATGTTGAATGATGTGGATATGTAATATGACCCCTGAAGGGCAAAAGCATGTTAAGATGATTAATATGTCAATGGGGGGGACCTGTCGCATGATCTGTGGCACGTGTGCAAACTTTGAATGGGCAGCTGCAACCTGCAGCACTGCAGCTGCAAAAATGCAGCATGCCCGCGCGCCGTGTTGTGTGTCATTTGGGCTTGTGGTAATGACAAGAAACATGCAGGTCCAAACGCCCTGCCATACAATGTGGCGAAACAACGTGCTTAAGTTCAAGAGTTTCAAGTATCGCAGTTGTCAAAGCGAGAACGGCAAAGCACCCCGGTAAATGCGTGAAGAGTTGGTAAGATGTGAGCAAGCACGCGCTCTCTGTTTGTAAGATTTCAGAAGTCACTCCAAGCGCGCTTAGTTTTGCAAACTCCCTGGAAGTTTTGTAACTACGTCTAGACTTCCACGCTTTTAGAGCATTTAAACAAAAGCCAACCCCAGAGCTTTGTGCAGGGCCGGTGGGCGTGTGAAGCTTTGTGATTCTTTTGCTCTAAGGTCCCGCATTCCTTCTCCTTCTGTTTCTCCGATGGATTCCTTGTGAAGGACCGGTGGATGGATGCTGGAGTTGGCTGTCGCAAGCTCAGCAGCTCTGACCATTTGAGGCTAAACGATGCAACTCGTGATCTTACAAGCACTGATTAGGTTGCACATGCCTTCCAAAACAACAAAGCTCTATATAATCAAGGCTGAGCGTGGCGTTCCTTATTAGAGCGCCGGTGCCGAGCTTGCACACTTGCGCTACATAGCCCATCAGGAAAGGCGCCAGCTTAAGAATATTATGGGATGCAGCTAGAGAGACATATGTCTCTCTAGCTGCACTTGGATGATCGACATCGATCCACATCAGCAGAATGTTTACAATGGCTCACAATTCCTCAGCCTGACCCACTCACCAATCCAGAACCCAACCCAACCCACACCTTCTTTTTGAATCCGTGCCCCGAATCCAAACATACCCAAACATTGTCACACCCTGAGCAAACCTTGATCCCGTCTTTCAACCGTCGGAGCTCGATGGTGCTGGGGTTTAGTATGGTTTAGTGCCAAGCATATCTTGGGCTCCACTGGTCGCCCAACTTTGCCGAATTCCGTTGTGACAAACTTGATACTAACCCACCACTCAATTCCAATGGGCCTTTTGTCTTGCCTGTGCAACCACCTCCGTATTCCCATGCTCCTCTTTAAAAAGCCTCGTTAAAAATGCAATGCGATTTTGGTGACAATGCAGCAATGCACGCTAAAAACGAGACTTCTCTGGAGTAGGGCCCATCTTAGATGTCAAAACGGCATAAACTCATTGCATGGTGTACTTCGCGTAGTCAATTCATGTTAATTCTTTGGCTGTTACAAACTGTCCGCTTTGTTTGTCGACAAAATGACTTTCCGACTCTTGCCTTACCGCCTTACCCGCCCAAAGGGTGGCGCACCGGACTCGCGCGCAAGATGGCGGCGCCAGGTAGACAAGAGCTCCACTACGACCACTACGGACTCCCACATCTCCCACCCATCACCTGCCCCATTCACACCACCATGTGGTACAGTACATGTTCAAGACCTGCTTGTGCATTTCAGATGGTCCTGTTCCTAAGACCCACTGCAAGGACGTTGGCAGGTCAGCACCACAATTAAAGATACTGTATTTAGAGTGCATGCTGTGTGCCTTCTTAGTGGAGTTCCTGGCCAAGGGGAAGTCCTTTCTCCATTCTTTCTGATGCCTGGCCCATTGTAAGAAGGTTTTGCTATGACATCATGATGATCAGCTATATATTCTGGAAGGACGGGTGGGATCCAACGGCAGAGACGCTTCGTACCTGGTTGTACATATCATGTTGCTCTCCATGTGCAGCACGAGTGTTTGCAGAATTGGTCGCCCAAAAGATTTGTAAGAATCATGCCACTTTATTTGTTTTGTGTTGCTTCCTGGCCAGTCTAGTGAAAGCTGAGGCGACGACCAAGGACCTGCTCCACGTGTCGGTGCATTTCGCAGCTGATCCTACTGCAACAGTTTTCGAAGGCTTTGCACGAAAAGAATCAAGTCCGAAGTCCACAATCAAGCAAAGGCATGCAAAGACTGAGTGGATGCCCAAATCATGTCTGCTTCATTCTATGCTTGTGGCCACTGCCACTTGCTAGTGTGGAGCTACAGCACAAAACAACCGCTTTGCAAAGGAGTCTTCAATAGTGTTCTAGATGAAACTAATTGAAACTAGATGAATACCTGATGTTTGTCTCAGTGGGGAAGGCCGTGACTAGAATCATGATCTCAATCGTGACATTTTCAAGGCAACGCCGAGCATCCGGTAGTGATGCTCCTGACATGCCTTGCGGCCCCGAGCAAGCTTGCACAAATCAAAGGCAAGCTAGTTTCGCTATATAGTTTGACGGAACTGCATGCATTGTGCATTCAATGATGGGGGATCATCAACCAATCATGTGCCTGTTCCACCAAATATCCCTTTGTGACTGCCGCGGATGACTTCAGTGCCCTTGGGGTTGCCCGCAGCATTAAACAATCATCAACCCCTTCCTACTCGCCCACTGCTGAGTTGTTCGCTCGAGCAGGTGGCTTGTGCCCTTGCCCCACCTCTACGGCAGCCAGAAGAGATGCACCTGAACAGCCAAAGCATGCCAAAGTATGCTCCCCCGCAGTTCCTCGTAGATTGCCAACTCACTTGGATACTTTTCACGGACTATCCAGCTGCAAACACCACTCATGCCACACGCCTAAAGTTGAGCTGTCGGTGCTTCCTGCATGGTAGGATCAGTTGGCAAGAATATGCAAGAATACACCTCGAAAATCCTTGACAAACTTCCCTCAAACTACCAACTGCAGGGAACAATGCCGCCCACTTGCTCTTGGCTGGCTGTTCATGGCTGCGTGCAATTGTCAAGCACATGTCGGCTAGCTGGCCATAATCATGGACTTCGCTCCTTTACATGTCCTTTCTGCTGGGCTTTGCCTGTTTTTCATAAAGTCTTCATTCACCCAATATGTAAATATGATATAATATATATATATACAATGTAGCTTGAAGCCGTACCAGCTTGTTACACATATCGCCACTGTAACATCTGCAACTTGGTCTTCAAGCCGTGCTGAAGCAGCATAGATTGCGCGCCTGCCAAGGACTCGGGCAAGTAGTCTGCCAGCCCATCCTGACAGTTGTGGGATTCAGCTTGTTAAATTGCATTCAGAAATGAACACAGCGAGGGAAGCCATGAAGGCTGAAGTCATCAAGATGTGAAGCCAAGGCTTGCCTCGTCCCCGTGCTCTTCTTGACACCACCTTGCAAACTCTTCACATCCATGCGCCACAAAATGCCAGCATTGTGCGCTTCCTAATGGATTCACAATGGTTCATTGTGGGAACCTTTTCTGAATTGTTTGAACTCGAGCAGGATGTTTGAACAATCAGCTACCAGGTTCGACTGGTCCATTGTGTCAAGCTTGGGTCCCTGCCTCGCAACATCGAATGCTCCGCCGAAGCGGGGGCACCTTCGAATCTAAGGAAAGCACGAAACTCAAAACATGTCAGTGCAACATATGGATGTATATATATACCAAACCATATATATATATAGATATGTGCACCTCATAACGTGGAAACTGCGCTTGCGGGGCTACCAGTCCAGTACCGAATGCCAAAATATATCAAGCAAGATTCGGTGAAAGTTCATACTATCAGATTGGTTCACCAAAATCCTCATGCGCCTGTGACGACGCACATGCCGACTTCTAACTGAGCGTCCGGGCCGTGACATGGCTTCCCCTCAGCATCCTTTGTCACCAACCCCGTGCAGGTTGAAACATTAAGACTTTGAAGGTACCTCCTAGAATAAGGTAACAAGACTAGCAGCTCGCAGTTCTGCAGGGCTCCAATTTCAACTTGAGCCTGCTCTGCTCTCCTATAGGCGGCTATATATAATCAGTCTGTATTCTGCTAGCTGCTATCTACTTTCTTTCCTTCAGCCTTTCATCTTTAGTCGACTTTGTAGATTCCCATCAGTGCTGCGTATGCTGATCTCAACTCCGTTGCCTTGATCCTCGGAAACGGAGCACATTGGTTTGTTCCCAATTTTCCTCGACATAGGTCTTATCTCAGCGACCTGGGGATGGCCTGTTGTAGCAATGGTTGTGTTGAACTCCCTTGGCTGGGATTTGATACTCCTCCTCAGGTGGACCAATAGACCACATAATTTTGAGCAGTCCTTCCTTCTGGTGGAGTGGATGGCTCATGTGAAGTTGAGCTACATCCCACTGCTGTGTACAAAACGGACCTCTACGTGGGTTCCTCGCCTCACAACAATCAATTTCATTACAGTCTCGACTAGACCTTATCCATGAGTTCAGGTGCCTTTCGGTAACTTCATGCTGGACAAATCAAAGCAAGCAAATCACGTGCAACAAGTCTTGCTTGACTCTGCACTTTTTCTCGGGGCCAAGAGCCTCACTTGATTCATATCTGGTCTTTTTTTGCTGCAACTGGGCCTTCGGCCACACAGCTCAAAATTCAAGGAATGATCATTCATGAAATCTCATCGCCTTAGCAAAACATGCGTAGCATTAAAATGGCTGCGCCGCGGCCACCAACAGCCGTCGGTGAAGAATCTCAGCAAAGTGTAGAGCAAACAAGACGCTTTAACAAGCAACGTGTGGAGCAATTTTGGGGGCACAAGGAAACACACACTCCAAGAGCCTTAGATTAGAGGCCCTCGACCTATTTCTTTGTCATACTCCAACATCTATTCCAAGATCATAGTGTTCGCACTGGCTGTTGAGCAGCTTTCCGAGGAGCCTTCGCCAACCTCTTTACAGTAAAAGGTATGGATTGCACAGCCCGGCCGATTTTCTCAGCAATACGACAAAGGTGCATCCTAACCTCTGGGCACAAAAAGAGACCCAAGGCTCCTTCAAAGGATGACTTGACTTCCATTGTTAAAAAAGCAGGTCGTTGCACATCTGCACTACAAGCCAAGTAGTGGAAAGCATCGCGTTGAAGATGCAATGGTTTTATCACTCGGCTGAATGCTGGTGGTTCAGGTTTGAAGATGTCACGAAATCTTCCAATTTAGAAGGGCACAATAGTCCCCCTGATAGAACCATTAAACTTTGTAGGCTTTATAGGGCCAACCGTTCGGTCGATCCAATTGGCGTCCCAAAGCATGGGCTAGATAGCCAAATGCCAACGCTTGCCCCAAAGTGTTAGCAAAAATTTACGAACACCAGATTCTTCCAATCCATGTCTTCAGCCCGTTTACTGTAATTAGTTGAGTTTAGCCTAGTCACCCTGAAAACTAGTGTCAGTGGTGATATTCTTTCCGGCACCTGCATCCCGAGAAGAACGGGGTTCACTGTGCCAAGAAGGGAATTTTGCAGGCTGGCATCCTGCATGGGGTTGCGACCACTGACCAACCTTGTTGCGTCTAGCTTACCCAAGCTTGCTCCTGTTATCCCGCCAATGTGAATCGTGTTAGCATGTGAGATGGTGGGTTCAAACATCTGCGCATGCCAATCTGGCCCTCCAATGTGCATTTGTGCAAAGGCCTTTGCGTCGTGCTGCAGTATTGCAGGCATTGAACGACCCTTTTTTCTCCCACTGCAAAGGCGACACACATCATCACGCTAATGTCCTATAAAATTACCGCTCAATTGCAAGGCCTTCTTGGTATGTCCTGCCTGCCTTTGCATGCCAGAACAATTTCACAGTGGCCGATGAAATCCCTCGTCAACAGGGGACAATGTACCGCGCCTGGCACCCTGAGGATATGAATAGGCTGGGCTAAAACATGCTATAACCATAGAGAGAGAGAAAAACAGAGAGAGAGAGAGAGAGCGAGCTCGAAGTACAAAACAATACAAAACACAACCTCTATGCCTTGCTCAGCTCATCACATAGCCAAGGCATCTGGTCACTGAAACACCGCAACCCAACACCTGAACCTGTTCTTTTCAGAGTGGTGGCTCAAAGTTTCCCACGAATGTCATACGATTGTGACACCCACGTGTCTAGATTAGATGCGTGTAGCCAGTGTCAACAGCCAAACATGTGTATAATCAATTACTGACGGTGAAAAAGAGTCACAGGATAGTGGCAAACACTACATGCGAACCAAAACCATGTGGGGGGGCACAGGCCGGACACGCGCTTGGACAACACAAGCGGCCCGAAACTAGCACATCGCAAACTCCACAAAACATAACCAAGAAACTTGTGAAACATAAAGCAATTGTATGGCATGACTGAACAGACAGAGTGTCAGCGCGAGTGCCAGAGCGCAGACGTTCAGGCCACGAAATCCTTCACAGTATAGTCCACAAACGCTCGCGGACAGCACAGGGGATTAGGTCCAGTCCAGGATCAGAAACCGTTCGCACATTCCGTTTGCCGAGCACAAAAGGCTCTTGATGCTATGATTTGGAATTTATGCTTAAGCACTGATCGGCTCTTCCGGAGCACAAAATCCTTGCAATTAGCTGTTCCACATGCTGTTTCTCACAGGCAACTATTGTCTATTGAACTAAAGCCATGGGCTGGAAGAGCTAAACAAATGGTGGTAGGACATTGTTCCAGGCTCAGGTGCCCTGTGAGAATCAACGCTGCTGCATCTTGTGATCTTTGGAACCTGGTCAGTACATGGATTCAGTACATAGCGCATTTGCTTGTGGCCATGTGTGAAGTCTCCAACAAGACCCACCAACAAGGGCCACAGGCTGCACAGTAATGATGCAAAGCCATCCATGATCACTTTCGGTGTGATGGTGGAATTCCATCTCGCCGTTCAGGAGGGGTCTGCCAACATCTATCCAAAACACCTAAGGTGGCTAGCCATTGTGCATTGATTCCTGTCAACATGCTTAAGAAGCACAGCATGGACATGCTGCATTGTGAAAACAGTGAATGATGCTGTCATACGTTTCTAGTATGAGTCAAGGTGCAAGCTTGCCAACACTGTCCGGTGGTTGTCGCCTTCTGCTTGATTTTCTCGATCTCGCTGTAGAAACCATCCTTCGTGAACCCTTTCAAGCTCGCAAGCTCGCCGAAAAGGAGTCTGAGAAACTCTCAGGCTCCCTCCCAACCGCGTTTGCAACATCTGAGCATCAAATGGCATGTGAGCTTGTTGAAGTTACATAGCGGTTGCCAAGTTGCCCCTTGGCTGTCGTTTCCAAGGGGATTGCATGCTGACCTTTCTTCTGCTTTTCCTGATTCTGATATTTCCTGTGTCCGGTCCTTGTCTTGGAGTATGCGATCTCTCCAGGCGTTGCCAGGTCTGGTGACCTCTTTGGCCTCAGACCCGAAGCGCAACGGAAAACTCAAGGCGGACACTGTGTTCACATGAATTCACATGATGCATGTTGATGCACAAGGTGTGAGAAGGTAGTCTGCCTGCAAAAGCGTGGATGGCCACCCTATTTAACTAGACTATATTCACTTCCACAATAGTCGTTTTCTAATGTTTTCTACAGATTGTCTTCGAATCCGACCTGTCCGATGCTATATATAACAACCCTATCTTGGGGAAAGGGGATGATGAGAAGCTGCTGAAAATTCAATAAAATTCAGACTATTCAACGAAGGCACTTGGCAACACACCTGTGCAGGTTTGAAATACATTCAGAGTAGTGAGTTAGAGGAATTGGGTCAAATGGACTCATGGATGTGAGTGAGTACATGTGGAACATATATACAACATATTACACAATATGAAACAATCCTGCACGAAAGGCATTGCATAGTGTATCACCTTTCCATTTGCACAACTTGCTCCAGTAGCTCTGTGCGTTTTCGCTTTCATGCAGTTGGGCATGGTGACGGTTTCGTGGCCCTTTATATATAAGTCCTTTTCTTTGCACATCATTCCACATTGTCATCAATTTTAACGATTCAATGCTTTGTCATCGACTTTGCAACGTTGTCGATATATAATCAAACGACCATGTTTTAACATGTTTTAACATTCTTGTCGGGGGTGCCAGTCTTCACCTGAACGGCTGTCACTAGCACACCATGCCATCGCCACGCAAAATAAACTCTGCAACATCCCCGAGATGGTCCCGGAGAAAGCTCTCGCATCACAAAGGTACCTTTGCACCCTGCCACAGATTTACATGTGGATCGCATCCATGCCTGGAGTTTGTTTAGTAAACTTCCTTCCGTGCTCAGAGTCGTTGAACCATTTCGTGGATGAAAAATGTACATGTTGCACGTTGCTTTACAACAATGATCAACAACGTACTTTCCTTCGTCCAGTGCAAGGCAAGCAAGAATGTGAGGCGGGGGGTGGGCAACTTGTGTAGTTGCAGCCACGTGGTTGGACCGGGAAAATTACGCAATCTGGGAACATCTTGAAAGTTTCAACCAAACCAAAGTTGACAAACTTCATCTATATAATTACCAATTTCCTGCGAAACTAAGGCGCAGCCTTTGTACTTGCTTGTTGCCCAGAACGTGATCAAATTGCTTAAGAATGCAACTCTGCTACTCGAACCCTGCCACAGTGCCATAAGCAATCTTGGATTCCGGACAAAGTTCCTGACATCTGTTGTGAAACTTTTCGCGACCAAATAGCAGGCTGCATCAATCATCTCAAAGCCGGGAGCAAGTTCTTTCAATGCAACATGCTGATCAAAAAGCAAAGCTCAAACAGTGATATAATGCAACACATTTCGCAACGAGCCAAGCAAGATAGACAGGGGTATAGCGTCTAGATTCAACAACATGGCAGTCAAGTTCCATTTCATTGCTAGAAATCCGATCCGATGATTGGCATACAATTGTTACTGTGGCTAATGGCTAAAGGTCGACTGAGGCACCCAAGAAGATAGTCGCA